GCCAACAAATACTATATTATCATGCAAATCTGACAAGGAATATATAGAAAGGGGAATTGATTCACTATATGTTCAGTATTGGTTTGCACAGTGTCTACTTTAACTAGCTCATTTGCTAATGAGAGAACACAGACTCGCGTGCGAGGAAAAGTATAAATTATAAGAATATAAACATGCTTTCTAGTTTCTGAGCAACCAAACGTTGGCCTATACACTTTAAGCCCGTAAATACAGATTATTTTTCTGTCTCACAATCTAACAAAATGTCCAGAAATACCGGCAGTGATCTGATATTATCAAGAATAAGTTTGAATTGGAGCGTTCATTAAGGGACAAAAAGTTTTTTGTTTTTGTTTTTTGTAGACTCAAAGTGTTACATACTATGTTAATATGAAGGGGAGATCGAGTCAAAGAGAAACACAGAGTGATGACCTCAATTATTTTAGCCTTCCTAAAATTTGAAAATATTCAATGAAAAAACAATAGCTATACTTTTCGCGGGAGAAAAAAATACCGCATATGGTATATTTTGCAGCTAAAAGGGTAGGATTAACAGAAGTCTTGAATATGTACAGTAGAGGAATCATGTCTGAAAAATATATAAAATAGCTCAAAAACCTAAAATCAAAACGTAGGTTATATGCGAATTAATGGAAGAAGTATTGTATTGTCATATACATGTAGATTCATGCCATTAAGTGTGTTTAAAAATTATTTAAATGTTATCAAAAGTTTTATTGTTAATATATGAATTGAAGGTGTAATTTTAACAATAACTGCAAAATCTGGGTATACAAAAATTATTTTAAATGCCATCAATACAAATTTATCTCAACGCTTAAAATTATCTGTATGAGGTTACATATGCCTAACCGCCCGCTGTCGTTGCCGCAACTGGAATCGTCCATAAAAAGCGCGAGGCATTTTTGCTACGTCATATATTTCGTAAATTGTTGTTGACGTAATAATGTTTTTTTTCGTCAGGAATCCATTTTCAAGAGTTATGAACTTTGTGATGTTGACAGCTAAAATTGATGGAACATACTGAATCATGATGTGTTTCATTCTTTTTTTTTTAAAGTTTCCCATCATGCATTGCAACGAAACTGTTACATCTAATAGATCCAGCTTTGTAAAATAATCATGAAACGACCCCAAGAACATCATGTACATTTTAGCTTTCTCCCGTTTATCTTCAAATGAAAGAGTACTTCGGCAATGGCTACGAAAATAAACAACAGAGACTTGCCATAGAGAAATGAAAATTTGATTTTACAAGAAAAGTAGACACTTTAGTTAAAAATCCTGAAAAATATCGAGGGTGTTCTACGTTTAAATGCTAGACGCGTTCAATTTCGATGCAACAGATATTGAACGCATAGAATATGTTCAAAATTAGGTTTGTTTAAAGTTACAACACTGATGAACACTTATGTTAACATTTGAACACCTTATAAAACAACAGATCTAAGTCATAAAACGAAGGAATCATATTGTTGAGATTTTTTAATTATTATTTAGTTATTCACAATAAAAAAATAAAGTATCTTATCCAAAATGTCTTATCATTTACTAACTCTAATCCTTATAAACAGTTATATAGAGGATATTTGTTTAGTTCAGTGTAAGATCGGAATATATTTCACCGAGTGAGCACAAAAAGGTATATTTCACGAGTGGCATGGCCACGAGTGAAATATGAACTTTTGGTGTTCACACTTAACTAAACAAATTTTCTTTTTATTATATGCAAATAAACGTTTTAAAAAGACATTAAATCTAATACTTATGAAAAGCGCGCCAAATAATAATACAACGTGACGTCATTTTCACCGTCACGTCATTAAGTTGGTACTCAGTACTGTGCACGCTGGTATTTCACTGAAATAACGTAAGGGGCTTAAATTCAAAACAGTGAAATTACAAAGTGGTATTTCACTGTTTAAAACAGTGAAAATACCAGTTTTATAACACTGATATATTTCTATAAACCACCGAAAAGCATGTAATAAAAAGTAAATAATGAAATGATTATGATCAAATTGCAATAAATTAAATACTGTTTTACAAAGTTCTTTCAGCAATTGTTTGTACATGTTAACATGAAACTTGCGTTTCATATCAGAACACAAAAATATGAGTAATAATCACACAGCAACATAATCTGTCTCTCAATTTACTAGCAATGTTTAACTTATTGTTAATACGTGTTGTAGTTTTATGTGTTATATTCTTGTGTGCACGAATGGAGTCTTCTTAACATGACACATGAATTAAGGTTAATTTCCTACATTTCTTCTCAAATACAAACTGCTGCGAGAGTCTTGAAAACATAAACAATAAACAATATTCTATGTCGAAAACAAAGTTTCAAGTAACTGAATTTAAACACCAACGGATAGTCTCCAAAGCAATAGTGCTCCCTCTGTATGTCATCAGTTTGTGCGGGGTGTTTTCATTTGTCTCCAATTTAGCAGGAAAGTCATATTCTTCATTATCCTGGAAAACATTAATGGAATGTATTAACATGCTGGTGATTTAAAGGCTTATAGTTGCTTCCTATGAGATAACTCATTTTTTACAGTTCTGATATAGAGTATAACAGCGTAAGTGGTTGACATACATGTATATATAATATATATATATATATATATATATATATATATATATATATATATATATATATATATATATATATATATATTATGTATAAGCATTATCTAACGATTTATCAGACACCACATTCAAGTCAGATTTATCTAAATACAATTCTAACATCACCAGGGTCAGACACTTTCTCACAAAGTCGATTTGAATCCGTAGCTACGATTCTTGTACGACACAATTTATTTGTGACACACTGTCAGGCCATCTTTGTAGAATATAAAATGATTAGCTCATTTTTGAAATGTTAGAATTTAAATATCATCCACCTAAAACAAACCTCAAAGATCTGTATGGAAGTCTGGAAATTAAATCCTCTCCTTATTTCTGTAAATATTTTGCTCCAGTTTCAGTAGATCTACAGTATAGTTCAAATCTTTCAGCACTGCTTGAAACAATAGTACTTACTCGCTATCCTATTAAAATATAAAGCAACAAAATGTAGCATACAAATATCTATACACAGTTTTTAAATAATTCAATCTAAATAACCCCGACTACACAGAAAAATCTACATTAGGCTAATTCATTATCACATATGATATTCGTCTTGTGTACAAGGAGACACGTTATTTATGCCATTGTGAACTACAACAATATTACTTAGTTCTTTTCAGAAAAATAAAATAATTATGGATAAAAAGACGCTAAAGAAGTAAAAGTTAATACCGTATTTTTCTTCAATTTTAATGTAAAGTTTGTCTCTTTTCTGCTTGCGTTTCGCCAACGCTTACTTGTTGTTGTTGTACTTGAATTGGTGCTCATTTTGACGTCAGAAATTGTCACAAATCTATTTTTAGAAACGTTCTCAATTAGAACATTCGATGAACGCTACTGTTCATATCATGTTCCACTTTATAATGTTTTAATTATTAAAGCACCATTACTTATTAAATTGCGTAAATATAACCTCAACTGACAATATATTGACCAAAAAACTTACCTCAATTTCTCAAAAACTCAAATACTCTCATGTTGTCTAGTCAGAAGGACTACCATTTAAAACTGACGTTCAAATTAAAAGTGTTCAACTCGTAAATAGAACGCCTTTTCTGAACACAGGCATTCAAAATATAAACGCGCAATGTTCACAATTGAACAAGTGTGAACGCGTCCGGTGTTCTCCTCATTTACAGTGTAACCACTCAGGCCTACAGCCTTCGTGGTCAAGTCCTATGCATCAACATTCCAAACCGGTGTTAAATATACAAGTAGTCCGTCACCAGTGTTTATTGGCAGTTTAACACCGGCTTTATTCTTCTCTGTCTATAGTGACAAAATCACGAAGAGTGTTAGAATATACTATTAGAATATACTATAATGCACGAAGATTTAATACCTATTTCCATTCTTACACGTCAAGAAAAAATATTATAATTATTATATAGTTGGACTTTAGGTTTGTTGGTTAAATGTGTTTTCGCCTCAGAGTTTCTAATAGAAACGTCCTTTAAAAGGCTTTTCCAGCGTGTGTAGAAACATTTTGAGATTAACAAATTTTTAAAACGTTGATAAAACTTTGTTGGATTATTATATTTCACTCTATAATTTTCAAGCGAACTCCAAAGTATTAATAGTGAAATAAATGTGAAATTAAACTCATTAATTTGCGACATTGAAATAGCGTTCTTGATTTGATTGTTTTTTGTTAGTGCTGTTTGGCGCTACATTGTGACAACAACTGAGTGTTCGGATTCTTTTTCTTAGTAAGACCATTTTCTTTCATTCTAGATAGTTTTTACAACGAAAAAATTGTTTGTTTTTTTTTATCAGATTTTACGAACAAAATGGCGACAATGTGTCGGTTTTAAAATACACAGGGAGGTTATAAGAACGGCGAGTGCATTGTTATAGAATACTGCACGCTTCCTTCTTTGTTTATGTAGAAAAAATTGCGATAGTGTTAGAATATAAAATATCACTAAAATTAATTCTTATTGGTTGTATTTTTATGATCCAAAAGTGCGGTCGTTTCAAACTTTGACACCAATGTGCGTTACGCACGTTGGGGCTGGACCCCAAAGTACCTAGCGCACTTTTGGGTCGGACCCCAAAGTGCATTTGACCCCAAAGTGCATTGTTACACTGCTTTATTTGAACTTTGTGACTAGTCTTTGCTGCATGCATTTTATCTTCCAAGCAAAGATGGAAAGTTCTATTTAATTTATATCTAATGTTTTCATTCAGTAAAGAATAACTTTGTTGTTTTGTTCTACTTCTTGTATAAGAATAATTTTATTTATTCTCAATCATTTGTCATTTCTCGTCCGAATTAGATTAAAAATTTCCTTTTATATTGAAACCTTGGTTAACAAATAAAGAAACGCGCGGGATATCGATCTGTTTTCTCTCTGTTTTCAGGACATATGCTTTGACTGAAGGAGAAAACGACAGACAAACTGCCACTGTAAAAAGACTGTTACAACTAACCTCTTTTCTATTAAACGAGGTAATATCTGAATTCCGTATGTCTTTTTGACATGTCTCTTGGAAAAATTCTTTTATCATCATTGCATTGTCTGTGGCAATTCTTCGACAATTCACGCGTGCCGATTTTGCGACTCCACCGGGGCCGGGGGTATGTGATAAATAGAATATTAGATGCGTTCAAGTTCATTGCTGAATTTATTGAACACGTTGAATGAAATAATATGCTCGTCAGAGGCTCGCATAATAATATAATTTTATTCAACTCGTGCAATAAATTCAATATTGAACTTATACACATTCAATATTCTCTATATATTTCACCGAGTAAGTGCAAAAAGAAATATTTCACGAGTGGCACAGTGAACACTTTTTGTGTTCACGAAGTAAGATATATTTTGATCTTACACTAAAATAAACACATTTTCGTTTTATTATATGCAATATAGAAACGTTTAAAGAGACATTTTAACCTGATACTTAATGAAGTTGTGCCAAATAATAATACAACGTGACGTCGTTAAGTTGATTTCCAGAACTATGCATGCTGGTATTTCACTGAAACAACAGACATAAATCGAAAACAGAGAATGTATCAAATTGCTTATTTTACCGTTTCAAAAAGTGAAATATCAGTTTTATATTTCACTTATATATTTGTATAAACCACCCCAAAACATGTAATAATATGTTATAAAAATATTTTAATTTAGAAAATTCATTCATATGTAGTCCGAATAACTTAAATCTCTGTCAATGACTATTATTCCTTTTAAGGCAACTTCTTGTTGCTTCTGTCTATTCAACTTCCAAACTTGATGTTTAAAGCTGCAGATGAGCCAAAAAATGTCAAGAAAATTAAATATAATTGATGAAGGAAAATATTATTTGAATATATTATTTCGATTCTAACACGACATCAACTAATAAATACTGCCGTACCTAATATTAAGCTAAATTGCGTTTGAATTGTTTCCGTACTTATTTTCAGTGTGTCGCGTTTTTAGTGGTTAGGTCACATGCATAATGATAACGTCGCATGACTAAATATAGAACGTCAACAGTGATTTTATTGCATATTCTTATATTCCTGATGATTTTGTCAGACTCACTATAGACAAAGAAGAAAAAACCGGTGTACTGCTAATAAACCCTGGTTATGGACTACTTGTATTTGAGCCTCTTATGTTTTCTCCCTCTTTTAAATAGACTAGTTTACAAAGCCTTTTAAATCAACAATAAAAAACATTGTTACTAATATTTTCAGTTCTTATAATGTTTTCTATTTCATACAATAAAAAAATAAAATCTCACGTATAAATCCACAGATTTGATTCATATCAGTAAATAAATATTTTGTCACTCTTAAGCAGCGTAATGACGTCATCCTAAGTGCACAACTCATTCATAAACGCGTTAGAATGACATCATTTCAAGCATACAAGAATGATTAATCAAACACTGATCCAAACACAATACAATCCAGTCTGAGACGTAAGTTTTTATTTTAAAAACTTGCTTTTTTTTTTTAATTATTGTTTGTTTTATTATTTCTATATTTTAACAACAGAAGGATGCGATATCGAACAGCGTTATACGAAAATCAGCACCGGAAGTAATCTCCGCTTGAAAAAAATTACATTAGTGATCTTCCTTAATTTCTCTTGTTAGAATCGAAATAATATCTGTCTGAGCGGTGTTTATCGGCTATTTAACACCGGTTTTATCGTTTTGGTGCGAAAAAATTAACCACTCAGGCCTACGGCTTTCATGGTCAATTCCTACGTATGATAATCACCGCTTAGACCGATATTGATTCTTAAAGTGACTCCAATGAGGTTTAAAAGCCTAAAAACATAACATTAGAATTTCGTACATAAATGAACTTGGGCGTTTTTAACAGAAATATATGCAAAGATAGTTAAGAAATAGACTTTAAAATAAATCGAAAATCGTAGCTTTATGCTTTTCTTAGACTAATTTGAGTGAAAAGCGTTTAAACGCTTTCACTATGGGTTATTTTTTACAATTTAAATAATTATTCTGGAAAAATCGAAGTGCGTGAATGATCTGAAAGTTTGCATAAAGATTTGTGGTCTATACCTACATAAAATGGTACTTTTATCTGGAAAAAAATATTTTCAGTCCTATCATGTCAAAAAACCTCAGTGGTGTCCCTTTGAATAACACACACTTTTGGTTCTTCTATATTCAATAGGGAACAATGCGGGTCGTGTTAGAATTAGCAATATATTATATTTTTCAGATGGATCTACGATACCAAAGTATGACAGACTACTCGTATACAATATCCTGCGTTTTTGCTGGAATTTACATAGCTGATGTAAGTGGTCATAGGGAACTAACCGATTAACTCTTCGTGTTTTTTTTACATAGTTTAATAAATAACGACAATCTACAAATTGAAGCAGCCCTTACAAAAAAAAGAAACGAGTAAGACTTGTACGATATGATATTTAATTGCCTAAGTGACCAATAATCTTTATTGTTCTCTACTTAGATGAAATTAACCATAAAATCCTAAGCCAACACAAATTTTCAAATTAATTTATTTTCAGAGGCATTTGCAATTCATCCCTTTTGTGTGGCAGCGTGGCCGAGTGGTTAACGCGCTGGACTAGTCTTAGAATTGCTGACCGCTTTGGTTCAGACCCTGTCAAGGGCAAGCCGTTATTTCCTTGATCAAGAAACTTTAAATTCATTGCTTAGTACTGGTTGGTTCAAGGAACGGATTCGAGAGTGTTACTATAAGCTTATAGCTTTGAACACAATCGAACTAAAATAAATTTGTATAAACTAAATTATCCCTTTTGTGACATATTAAAAAGGGATGTTTCAAATGTTATTACATAAACACATTCATGTAAAATAACCCTGCCCTGTCTGATATTTGTAGTGTAACGATAACCTGGACATGTATAAGTTACCGGTAGGGAGTTAGCAGTGAGCAGTAGCAGTAGCAAATTCATAAAACGTGAAATTGGCAGTAGCAAAGCAGTAGCAGTAGCGCAGCAGTAGCAGTAGCACAACAGTTGCATTAGCAAAGTTATGAAACGTGAAGTAGGCATTAGCAGTAGCACAGCAGTATCAAAATTATAAAACGTGAAATCGGCAGTAGCACAGCAGTAGCAGTAGCACAGCAGTAGCAAAATTATAAAACGTGAAATTGGCAGTAGCACAGCAGTAGCAGTAGCACAGCAGTAGCAGTAGCAAAATTATAAAGCGTGAAGTTGACAGTAGCAGTAGCAAATTATAAAACGTGAAATTGGCAGTAGCATAAGCACAGCAATAGGAATAGCAAAATTATAAAGAGTGAAGTTGGCATTAGCAGTAGCAGTAGCAAATTATAAAACGTAAAATTGGCAGTAGCATAAGCACAGAAGTAGCAGTAGCGCAACAGAAGCAGTAGCAAAATTATAAAACGTGAAGTTAGCAGTAGCAGTGGCACTGCAGTAGCAATAGCAAAATTATAAAACGTGATGTGTGTCCGAGTGTCCGATAATCAGTCGCAGACCAAAGAAATGAACTCTGGCGTGTGCATAGAAGTAAAAAATGTCATAAACGCCATTGGCTATACAAAATTACTGAAAGTCTGCGAGTGTCACAGAATCTGGCAGGTCCTTAGAAGTCTGAATAGTCACTATCTGCATTGGTAGCAAAATTCCTTAAAGTCTGTGAGTATAAAACAAAGTCTCAGGCCAATGAAAAAGACACTTTAAGGTCCCTAGAAGTAAAAAATTCATTATTTCTATTGGCACCAAAATACCTGAAAGTCATCAAGTGCCTCAGACGTGCCTAGAAGTCGAACATGTCAATAAAGCATTGGCAACAATAAACCTTGGAACTCTGCAAGTGTTCCAGAATCAGTCTGCTACTGCTGTGCTACTACATATGCCAACTTCACGTTTTATAACTTTGCTACTGCTACTGCTGTGCCACTGTTACTGCCAAATTCACGTTTTATAATTTTGCTACTGCTACTGCTGTGCTTTTGCTTCGGCAAACTTCACGTTTTATAATTGTGCTACTGCTGTGCCACTGCTACTGCCAACTTCACGTTTTATAAATTTGCTACTGATGTGCTTCTGCTACTGCCAACTTCACGTTTTATAATTGTGCTACTACTACTCCTGGCACAGCAGTCAACTGCTTCTGTCAACTTCATGATTTATAATTTTGCTACTGCTGCTTAGTAGCTACTGCTACTGCTAACTTCACGTTTCCTACTACTGCTACTGCCTACTTCCTATCTGGAATTGTAATGCATATTCCCGCACAACCTGTGTCTGAGATATAATATATCTGCAAGTATCAAGCGATGCTCCTTCTGAAGATAGTCATTTCTCATACTGTAATAGTATGCATATGTGTCATATGCATCATATATCCGCAGGTATCAAGCGATGTGCCTTTCATAGCAAATTATGTATCATATTGTAATACATATTCCCGGGAATTATGTGTCACATGCATCATTAGCCGCAGGTATTACGCGATGCACCATTTGTAGAAAATCATGTCTTATATTGTTATGAATATTACCACACAGCATCTGTTATATGTATCATGCATCTGCGGGTATCAAGCGAAACCTTATATATTTGCAGAAAATCATGTCTTTTATTGTAATGACTATTACCACACATCATGTGTTTAATGTATCTTGTATCTGCGTGTATCAAGCGAAACACTTTTTGTTGAAAACCATGTCTCATATTGTAATGGATATTCCGACGCATCATGCGTTAAATGTATCTGTCACAGTATCATATATCCGCAGGATCCAAGCGATTCGCAGTTTGCAGAAGATCATGTCGTCAACGCCGGAGAAGCAAATGGTGACAATATACTACATGATTTCCTGAAATGGGGAGAGGCTTCATTACGTCATTTTAATTATGACCAAGCTACATTGCTGACAGGGTAAGGAAAGGTTTCTTCTTTTTTTCTCTTAAATTTATAGTCCAGGTATTTTAGCAGAAATAGGAGTCAAACCTTAAACAAATTCCTTCAGAAAATCTAATTGCTTTTTCATTGTCAGTACTGTATATTGAGCTACAGAAAAAAAGTCCTAAAAAAAAACATGAGCCAAACTTGAAAAAAATCAACTTTTAATAAGCTGTCTTTTAAAAAAATTTGAAACCTAAAAATATCACTTTTATGAAATATACGGGATTTTACAACAATACCAACACATTTTTGATATAAAAACTCGTAATATGTGTCCATAGAGATAACAAAACATTGATACGAATACTAAATGACTTAAAAAATATTTTATTACCTTTTAAGAGAAAAAAATAAGATATAAATGTACCCCACCCACCTTTTTTGCGTAGTATATACACTTCAGCTTATAACTGTCTCGACTAAATTATTTGGCTTATTTTTCATCCACTATAATTAAAACATTTGTAATGTATGTTATGCTTATTCTTAAACGTTTCTTACATTCAAAATTAACAGTCATGGTAAAAAAAGGATTTAAAAGGATTTAAGGCAACATAATCTAAAACAGGAATCAATTTTTGATCCAATATAAAAACTGAATTATAATATATCTATTATGTAGGAAACACTAATTTATAGCTTGCAATTACAGCTATCAGTCTTTAAAATAAGTATTGGTTCATGCACAATTACTCATTTAAGTCTTCTTCGAATGTTTCTACATTACTACAGTTTATTCCTTTGCAGTCACCACAGCTGGCAGAGCATTTGAGTCCGTGTTTGCGACATGTACACCGTTTAGTGTTACAATTTGCTTTACAGCTACATTTAATTATCTTTAACAGTCGTTCCGGTGCTGCAGGTAAATGTGTTTTGATTGGGGATAATTTATCATCTATTTTCAGCCAACCCCATTCGAGAGGATTGATATTATTGCCAATCCATGTCTGTGTTTGCAGGTATACTCTAAAACTATGGTATTTCGATGCTGCTTTAGTCGGAGGAAGAGTCTGTACCTGTACAAAAGTTGTACTGTTAGCTATCTTGTGTACAAATTTTTGATATCGTAATTTGTTTAAGCCTTCATGTTTCGTACCATTATATATATTAACCATGGTTTTTTTCTCCAGCAGCTTCAACATTAGCATGTGATGATGCACGAGAAAACACTTCAGCTTGTTCTTTTAACTCGACGTCATTGATTAATTTTTTCAAGAAAATGCCTTTTCCTATACCGTATATTCGCGATGTTGTATCACAACCGGTGAACGCATGTGCAAATGGCAAATGTCGACAATTTTCAGCTCCCAACACTGCTTTTTTTTCAATATGTCCCATATTTTTTTTCTTTTTTAATGTTTTTCTGGCGTCGGATTTAAAATAAATATTTTTATTATGTGTATCTGAATGGTAGCAAAGAAGGACAAGTATATCCGTGTCTTCCCAACAACAACAACAGGTTTTTCCGCAGCTAATTCTACTGCAGTAAGAGCTACTAAAAGATCAGCATCATCTGTAGCATTCCGTACCACACAATTTTTTTCTTTGAGATAACATCCGAGTAGGTTGATAAAATTTTGCTTGTTTTCATGATTGGTCAGAAAAGTTTCCTTTTTTGTTTTTGAATGGAGTTCTCCCATCAAAATTTATTTTCGGACCAATAACCCTTTTGCTCGCCGTAAATGCGTAACATCTTTTATCGAAGGCCCACTGATGTACCCATCGAAAATGACATGCGCTTGGCCGTAATTTCTCTCAACAAGATTTACATATTTCGAACATATTTGGTCAAAGGATTCTCCATAGTTCCAAGGTATTCTATGCACAAGAGACCCTCCATCTAAAACATAGTATGGATTATGCTCCGCTATACTATCAACACCACAAACCCCAAGTTCCCAAATTGCATTTGTCAAGTTAGGCTTTTGTGCTTCTCTTAAAAGCCCAGAAGAATCAAATAAAGCAGACGGATTAGCACAGAGTTCATATTCAAAAATTTCCTCAATGTTTTCCAAGGAGCTGTCGGACACTATAACTAAACGTTGAAAAAGTAACTGGGGATCAATATGGATTTCTTCACCATTAATCTTTAGACTGTTTTTTGTACTAAGAGTTACTGCTTGATTTGTACGTTTGAAAGTATAATCAGACACATTTTGGTTTTCCATTTCATTTAAAATTGTTTGACCAATCAGTTTTGCTTTGTCTACATTCACATTGGCATCGGCAACAGCCCCAGCTTCAATATTTCTTTAAACTAGGTTCGTCCGAGAAAGGATTTCGCTCATGTAGAAATTCAGATAAAGTGTGACGGTCAGCATTATCCCTGACAACTCTAGCTTCTGATGATTCTTTATGCTGTTCGTTTGTTTCAAATGTATTGCCTGTGAACTCTTGAATAGCATTATTCATATCAGCACATGCCGGCATAGAAAAGAAGCCATTGAGCTCTTTGAGACTCAGACATGCCACGACCACGAGTCATTCCACCAACAGATTTGACACTTCGCATAAGAACCTGTTCAATTATCAAGTCTGTAGATAGACCTGCCCAGTACCTGTCGCTGCGGCGTATGACATGATTTCCAACACTAAACTCCCTGTGTACATCTGGTTTGGTTTCTGTGATTTCGGACATCTGCTGAAGATATATATAACTTGATTTGAGATAAAGGTTGTGGCCAGCTGCTGCAAAATAAGGTAGCATATGTCTGATTACAGTAAGGTGGCCATTCCAGTTCCCCATTCTTTCAGCGGCTATAAATCGTTTTAGAATGTCCACCATGTCTATATATTGCAACTAAAGTTGTGAAGTTCTGCAATCTTTATACGACTTCTTTGCATTTTGGAAATCAAAGTGCATGCTTTTAATAAGATGGTTCTCATTTACTTCATCAGGCAATAACTCTTTTGACAAAACCTTTTCAAACAATTCTCTCACAGTGTCAACATCTACAGAATTAGCATGCTCATCAATGGGTTCGTTATTATTATTGTCATCACTATTGTCTTGTTAAAGTTGGGGGAATGCCTTCTCAATCAATAGGGTGTAAAGAACATCATGCACAAGGAAGTGCCCTCTCACGGCTCTACTTACTGCCTTCCCGGTGAGCATATGTCCAACTGTGTTTGCAGCATAAATAGTCCCGAGTATTTCTGCAAGTCCAGAGTTTTCCATTAATCTTCCAATGCTTCCCAAAAAGCTCATTTCAGTATGAAATCCACCTAGTCTAACAACAACATTCTTTATCTCACGTTCTTCGGATTCATTCATAATAATGTTTAACGCTTTCCAGTACAATGGTTGGTCAAACGTGATAACTGGTGTTGTGCTATGACTGCGACATTGAAGTGCTACAAATTTTAGAGTTGAGTATATGCATGACATATCACCTGGACTGATGTCGATCATTGGCATGAAAATAACCAAAGATTTTCCGGGGTGATTACCACTTTGTACCATTTGCATGATTCCTGACCATCCAGGAGATTGAAGACGAAGTGGACGTGCTAATTGAATAAGGAAGTCCAAACCTTTTGGAGGTTGATAAGTGTCATATACATCTACAAGTTTCTTAAATTTCAATAGCTCCATGGTGTTTAATGTTTGTTTATACTGGTGAATATTTATTTTCCCAACAGCTATGAGGTCTTCATTAGTTGTAGTTACTCTAGGAATGGCACGCTTATTTTCAATTACTGGAGTTACTGCTGCAATAATACCCATGCCGTGAAATGTATTGAAACCGTCAAGTGTCCCCGTGTTGTGATCAACATTGTCTGCTACAAATTGCATGAATTGATCACTCGATTTTTGTATAGTGGTTCCATAAACAGAAGCTGCACTAGTTTCAAACTTTTGAACTTCATGATATGAGGAACAAAATCCAAGAGTATGGAGTGTTTCTATAAGAAATTTTGACTCAAACTGATGATGCAGCTGTACGCCCAAACCTATTTGCAGGGGTGCAATAACTCCTTTTGGTATAGCAGCCTGTATAATAGCCTGACCTATAGAACATATCTTTTTTCAGATTTTTTACTGCTTACTAATTCTATTAATAGGAGCTGAAGGCTGTTGGGTAAGAATTTCATATTAAAATCAGACGACATTACTTCTGATGAGCTGGGATATATTTCTTTTTGATATTTATCTGATTTAATGTCGTTGAAAATAAGTTTTGCTGCAGTTTTGATTATCATTCTTTTTTCTGATTCACTATCATTTGTTCCATTTCTTCGGTAAAATGCATGTAAAATGGCATCAGCATTGCTTTGGAATGTGATAACATTATGCTTTCCATTAAATTCAGTTACTGTTACCCTTCCACCAAAATGCTCAATTACCCTTTTCTTCATATAAACAGTACTGTAAGCATTGTCTCCACAAAGTTCCCTCATCTTATCAACAAGATCTGATATAGTTGTTTGATCATTCACATTATTTTCAAAATCTTCAATTATTTTAAAGAAAGCACTTTCAGCACAAGGTTTGGTCGGTCTGCCTTTTTTAGCTTTACTGTTAACAAATTCAGGTGCTTGGTATTGTTTAGGAATGTTGTATCCAGATCTAAAGTTTGAACTGCATAATTGATGGTATCGTGCCTCAACAGCCGGCAGATCTTGTGCATATTCAATTCGTCCCAACACTGTATTTCCCCAATCATCCTGTCTCTTAGTACATACGTCTCTTATTGTATTTTGAAAGTCAAATGTTCGTACCGGGTAAGTATCAAATCCCCGTTTATTTCCTGCCCCGATTTTAGCATAAGAACCGCAAAATAAGCAATTCTTTTCAAAATCAAATTTTTTTTCAGATTTGTGTCGGGTTCTTGGACTTTGAGGTAACTCTGTTTCTGTTCTAGTTTGTCTTTTTTGATTTGGATGACAGTAGGTCCGTCTACATTCTAGATGAACAACATTTCCAGGAACAACAAACAACTTATCACCTGAAAAAAATAAACAACTAGTTAAACATTTTGACATTTTATTAAAATAAGATTTAATCTGAATATATTTACAGATGAATTAAAAAAGGGAATCAAATGTGATAAAAGAAAAATTATGCAATTCGTTAAAACCGTTACTCTAATATCTATTTGTAATGAAAATGCAAATTATTTGATTTACCCTTATTTAGGCTGGCTTTAGTTAGTCCCTCGCACCCCTTTGCTCCTAGTTTTGCTATTGGTTGATCGTCTGAGGTCATACAAATGACGCATTTAGGCGTTTCTCCACTAAAAGAAAATAAAATGTATATAAGATCATAGTAGTGTATAATTCGTGATACATTGCTTTTTAAAACAAGATGTAAATAACAATTGAGCACTATTTATCATTGGCAACATTTATATGTTTCAATCTTCACTAAAACACTATGATGAAATGGAAAATATTCTTACCTCATTGCTATATATCTCAGGGATTTGCAAATCTTTACTCTTGTGTTCAAACTACATGCCTGTATGGTACCAGATCTACCTGAATCAGTAAAAATTTAACGTAACTTCGTATGATTAAACTTTCTTTATTTACAATATGTCAACATAACTGCTTATAATAAATTCCTCTTATTTTTACACATGAAAGGAATGAATATCTAATTAAAACGAAAATATATTAAAAATGGTGTGAAATAACTGATCTGATGCTAAAAACAAGGCAATGCTACATAAAACTCTCAAAAAATACAATTGTTACAGAAAGTGAAAAAATGTCGACTTTTGTCGCTTATCCGCTTCCGTAGAAAAAAAAATGCATGACCTTGCCGCATTTTTGTTTCAAACTATTTTTTATATAAACCATGCATATAATTAAATATTTGAATAGTATTGTGATATTCTAGTTATTATGTATCATTTGAAACAAGTTTCGGCAGCTATTTAAAAGAAAATATCATTTATATTTTCTACAAGTCGCGGAAACAGGTTACACCATTTGTCATCTGCAAAACTTGTCTACTTCGATTTCGCCTGCGTGCATAAAATGACAAATATATTTTTAAGATTTTGTAAATACAACACAATGATGATGAAATGATACTTACCTCTAGTCTTGGTTTGGGTTTATCCTCTTAAAATGGAAATATAGTTCGGTTAAATTTTGTTTACGTCATACGGAAAATAACCGGAAGTCAAGCAAAGTCTAATAATCATAGGTATGGTGTACTATCGATGCCATTTTATTACAAGTGTTTTATGCTTAAATTTAAATCCGATTTACAGGAAATGTGTAAGGAATTTTTTTGAGGACTTTTTTTTGGTTATTTATAAGGTCTTAAGCTTTCATTTTATCAAGAAAAGTTTTCTGAAGGAATTAGTTTGAGGTTTAATTTCAAAATACCTAGCCTATTAAGAAAAAATATATCCCAAACAGTGATTTTATCGCTCAATAACATCACTGGAGTTCGGATGCGATGAATTATATCACGAGGGCGTAGCAAATATAATACTGCCGTGCGTGATATTAAAAGCTAAATTGCACCTGGGTTGCGTTTCACTAACGCACTTACGTTATCAGAAATCAAATTTGAACGTAACTGTTTGCGTAAACAGAACTTACGTTTTACTTTCGTTTCACTAAACTTTCTTAGCTACGCATTTGTGTAGGTTTAAACGTAAAGTAAGGCTCACTTACTGCTGGCGTTAGTTGCACGTTCTGTATGAAACGCATCTAATGTAAATTTACGTTTTGCATAATTCCAAATTTACGTAAAAAGATACGTTAAACTTACGTAAATTAAAATGTTAGTGAAACGCTCGTCTGGTTTGTTTCCGTACATATTATCAACAGTGATTTTATTGCATAATAACACACACTTTCGGAGGGAAAGATGCGGGTCGTGTTAGAATTTACAATATTTCATATATCAGTATCAGTATACATGTATAATAACAAATTTTTTTTTTAAATCAACCATAATTTTCATTCAAAATTTTGATGGTAAAAATAAAAAAACAAGATGACAAAAAAACAAAAAAAAACAACAAAAAAAAAAACAACAAAACGCAATTACTGATAGAAGGAGCCTTGTTGAAGAAGTTTGAAGGTAATGTAGAAATTAAATAGATTTATATGGGCTTGCTTTGACGCGCTTTCACGTATGACTTGTACATGCTCAGTATCTTGTAGTATTTTTGAATATTTTTTCAAACATACATTTTGAACAAATCCTTTCGTTCGGCTACGTCCTCGTGATATAATTCCTCACATCCGAACTCCAAACAGTGATGTTATTGAGCGATACAATCAGTTTGGGATATACTATTTCTAAATTATACTTAATATTGGTGCAAGTAATGTACTCGGTAGCTTGCACTTTATAGAACCGCCCCATGAATAAGCTCAATAAAACCGCGCTTGCAATATTTTCCATTTTGTCGTTTAAGACTTTCTTTATGGATTCTGTTTCTATATATTTCATCAATAACGCAAAGATTAATCCTAAAATATGTCAATTAAGCGACATTATTTACAATAGTATTGTTTTATCAAATAATTCATTACTCTTAAAAAAATATTATTAAATGCAAATGAAGGTCTATGTGTTATACTGTAAACCATTGAATGACAAATTTGGTTTTCAGGAGAAAAAATCATCATGTGGTCACAATTTCAGATTTGAATTAAATATGATAATAAATATTTACTAGAAGCGGTTTTTGTTAGTAAGTATAACACCGAAAGTTACACTTATGGACTTACAAAAAATTTAACTAAATTTCGATTATTTCAAGTAAAAAATTACAATATAATTAGGTTGTGTGTTGTCTGAAATAAATGCGGTCATGTTTGTGCTGGTTAACCCTAATTCGATAAGAAGTAAACAAATTCTAGTTCATAGTCTACTCATTTTTCTTGATATTTTGTTTTCTTTATATTTATATTAAGGTACGATATCGGATGGATGTATGGTAGTCAATTTGTGAAAGGTCTAGAAGGTATACACACTAATACATAATAAAATATTGATTTGTTTCAATTAAATCTTATCATTTTAGTGTTTCTCAACACAACTGTGAGATAACTGTTATATAACTATATATTAAAATACTCAAGTCCTGTTAACATTAATATAAGCAAATTAAGAAACAGATTGTTTCAGTTTTAAATGTTCGGAAATGGTTACACCGGTGCTTGGAGTCTGGGTGGTAGCATGATTTTACTATTTCCGTTCGTGAACAAGCTTACCAATTGTCAAACCGAGCCTGCAACTATTTTCAAATTGGGCATGTTGAGTGCTCTTTAAGGTTTTTAAGTTTTCTATTTCATAAATAAATATATCTGCTTATTCTTTTTTGAATGAATTTTCTTATAAAAAGTTATGATTCGTATTTTAAGGTGTTGCGTATATGCCGGGTTATGCAGACGGTGAAGTGACCATTCCCGCACTTTGTGGACCTTGGGGATATTCTGTCAATGAAATTACAAGTTTTAAACCGTCGATGGGAGTAATTGTCGCACATGAGCTTGGACATAAGTAAGTTAATTACACTGTAACTTGTTGTTTTTAGCTATTAGGATCACTCTTCGTCCGTCGTCTGTCGTCCGTCATAAGTCGTCCGTCGTACGTCGTCCGTTGTCCGTTCACACTTTTAAAACGACATCTCCTCTGAAACCATAAGGTAGATCATAATGAAACTTCACAGGGATGTTCCATGTGTGAAGCCTTAACAAAGTTGTTCAAAGAATTCCATTCCATGCAGAACTCTGGTTGCCATGGCAACCAAAAGAAAAAACTTCAAATATCTTCTCTAATAAACCCAAAGAGCTAGAGCTTAGATATTTGGCATGAAACATCTTCTAGTGAGTATCTACCAAGTTTGTTCAAATAAAAGCCCTGGGGTCAAAATTGGCCCCGCCCCAGGGGGTCATTGATTTTCCCTATATGCATATAGTAAAAACTTAAAAAATCTTCTTTTAAAGAACCCAAAGAGCCAGAGCTAAGAAATTTAGTATAAAACATCTTCTAATGGGTGGCTAACAAGTTTGTTCAAATAAAAGCCCTGGGGTCAAAATTGGCCCCGCCCCGGGGGTCATTGATTTTCCCCATATGCATATAGTAAAAACTTAAAAAATCTTCTTTTAAAGAACCCAAAGAGCTAGAGCTAAGATATTAAGCATGAAACTTGTTCTAATGGATGTCTACCAAGTTTGTTAAAATTAGAGCCCTGGGGTGAAAATTGGCACCGCCCCGGGGGTCATTGATTTTCCTTATATGTGTATAGCAAAAACTTAAAAAAAATCTTTAAAAATCCGAATAGCTAGAGTTCAGATATTAAGCATGAAACATTTCCTAGTAAGTGTCTACAAAGATTGTTCAAATAAAAGCCCTTGGGTCCAAACTGGCCCTGCCCCAGGTGTGTCATTGTTTTTAACTATATGTGTAAAGAAAAAACTTGACCAGCTAGACCTTAGATGTTAGCATGAAACATCTTCTAATTGGTGTCTACCAAGTTTGTTCAAATAAAAGCCCTGGGGTTTAAACTGGCCCCGCTACGGGGGCCTATATACAGGTGAGCGACTTCAGGGCCATCATGGCCCTCTTGTTTTTTTTTTTGTTAGCATTTTGTAGAAAGTGATAAGTTAAAGGATTCCGTCGCAGTCAAGTGATACAGTGTCTTTAAGAACCGCACTAAATGTAACTCAGCTTTTTTTGTTCATATCAGACTGGATTATCTACTGTTTAAACCGGTGCTAGAAAATCCTGTCTTTCACCCCATGTAAGATAAGTCACGAGCTTTAAATGACGGCATATCCGCGTGCCTTTTTGAATTATTTGCGAAGTTGTAAGTTCATACGCTACTATAAGAAAAAAAGGACGTAATGAGAATATCAGTTTTCGTAATTTCTGTTCTGAAAGTATTTGATATGTAATATGCAAGAAAAAGAATCAAACACCGGCTGTCGGTACAGACGGGAATATCTAGCTCTCGGGTAACTATTTAGCAGAAACACGGCCGAGCCTCGTTACCGCCGTAAACAGTCACCCTCGAGCTAGATATTCCTGTCTGGTAGCCGGTGCAAGATTTATATAATCTGGTCGTTTTGTTTGTTACGTGAAAATTTCAAAAAAATGTTAACTACGAAACTGAGAGGTCAATATTAGCAAGTGTTCATTTGGACGCTTATTGAGTGCCGCTTCCCCTTTGTTTGTTATGATATCAAGATCAGATAACTCTTTACATGTTTAGTTGTTCAGTTAATGGTTGCTTCCCTTTACTTGATATCCATTTATGCTATGTTATATTTATGATCATACTTCTCTGATACCTAGGCATTCTCACTTGAGCTCTGGTCTTACAATGTAACAACATATATAAAATGGTTATAATGGTTATAATAAATAGTAGAATCGTTTGAATCTTGTTATCATCCATGCAACATAACATTGTTGAACATTGCATATTTCATTGAGTGGTCAGCTACATACTTTATTTCATTGTTTAATATTTTTCTCATTAATCGTTTCGTTTCGGTTTCAGTTTCGGATCAAAACATGATGGTGATACAAATAGCTGTATCAATGGATATGTCATGTTACAAAATTTTGCCATTACCGATGATTTATCAAGGAACCAAAAAATCTGGCAGTTTTCGTCTTGTTCACAGACATATTTTGACACTTATATCACCGATTTGAATCATGCGTAAGTTTAAAGTTTAATTAGTGGTGAATATGATAAATTATCTTTATTTCATGCTTTCAAGTGTTTTACTGTTACATATCAGATGATAATATTCTGATAAAGCACTAGTGAAATTATAAGATATAATTTTCACTGTAGTCGGACTATATATATATAATGTGTGTGTGTGTGTGTGTGTGTGTGTGTGTGTGTGTGTGTGAATGCGGATGAAAAGTATATTATGACTAATTGGATTAACAGGTAAAATAAATGCCGTCATAAAGAAAGTGGATGTCATCATACATCATATTAAAAATGAGAGAAAGTTTAACAGAACTATATTTCAAAATTGATGATGTGACGTCATGATGTGATGACTTCATAAAGCAAAATACACGACGTTACGCGGCAAAATCAGTAAAAAAATATCTAAAGGCACTTAAAAAGCATAAATAAAAGGAACATTTATTTGTTTTACATATAATATAATAGAGGATATTTGTTTAGTTCAGTGTAAGATCGGAATATATTTCACTGAGTGACTGAGAGTGGGCACCAAAAGGTATATTGAAAATGAACTTTTGGTGTTCACAAGGTGAAATATATTTCGATCTTACACTAAACTAAACAATTTTTTTTTTATTACATGCAAAGAAACGTTTTAATAAGACATTAAACCTAATACTGAATGAAAAGCGCGCCAAATAATAATACAATGTGACGTCATTTACGACGTCACGTCATTAAGTTGGTACCCAGTACTGTGCACGCTGGTATTTCACTGAAACAACTTAAGGTGACAACGGAGTCAATTATTACTGAAAATACCTAAAATGAGATTCTTTGCTTAGTAGATTTATCAACCTTTTCTGAACACATTCGTGATTTAATTTTGGAAGCAGTTAGTCCAAAAAATGTGTTTTTAAACGTTTTAAAACGGTACCTGTACCATTTTTATCTGCTATTCGCGTAACCTGTCAATTATCGATAACGCTCCGCCCCCTGTTGAGGCATCAATGAGGGAAATCGGTAGTTCCATATATCCGTGAATTACCCGTCCATACTGGTCCATACTACTCGTAATTCATGTATCGTACAAATACCGTACATCTTTTATGAATATCGTCTACCTTTTATTAAGAATTTTTAAAAAATAAGAAATTGACGGCCAATGTACGTAACATAATGTATGAAACATAAATAATTAAGAATAGCAGCAAATCGCACGACCACGGGTTGATTTAAAATATAGTTGCTAAAATATCCATAATGTGTGAAAATAATTTGTCTGTCCCGTTAATCTGATAGATATTACATTGAGTTTATGGACTTTTGTACGGATTCATCGGCTTGCTTTACATTCAACCGCGTTTTCTAACAATGTCAAATAAAACAACAACAAAAACAGACAACATTTTTTATGTGAACGCCTATATGACTTGTGGTAAGGTGTCCCTGACAAATTTCTAAACCATTTTAGATTGTTTAAGGATGATCATTTCTCTATGAATCAATAAAAAAATATATTAATATATACTATCAGTGAATGCTCTGAATAAATTTTTCGCCAGTAAATCGAACACAGTACTAATAAACCTGGGACAAAGTATGGAATTTATTGTATATCCCAGTAGAAACTGGATATTTATGCCGTGCATAGATGATTTTCATGATAAAAGAAGTCATAAAGGTCAGATCATAATGATCGAGTGATACCTTTTATTTCTATTATAATATGTCAAACATTTATTTCAATTTGGAGGAAGAAATATATAATATCTCGTTTTTATTTTTACATTTACCATGGACTTTAAAAGACCATCAGAAGCTCAGTTGTTTGTTATTTTAATTTATATCTTAACGGAATTTCATACACGAATACACAGACAGAGTGACGCTGGTATAATATAATAATAATGCTGATGATAATAATAATAATCTTCAAAAGTGAAACAATTAAATACCCCGCTAGCGGTGCGCAAATACGTTCCATTTCCCCCCCCCCCCACCGAGTGCCTCAAATTTTACCGAAAGTCACGTGACATGTGCGACCGACAGTAAATCACGTTAAGATTTGAAGAAATTTCTGTTATAAACTGATATTAATCAGCAACTTTTTAATTGGTCAGATGTCACTGGGTCATAAAATGTTGTTAGAGTATGTTAGCGCAACTTGTGACCCTCTCTGGTGCGATATTTGTGTATTATGCATTTATTTAGCGTGAAACGTAGGGGTCCGAGAGAGAACAGCCGATTTATGACACTTCGTTTTGATGCGGGTCGGACTAACTTTGAATCGGCATAACTTTTTTTAATAATCAAGCAATTAACATGCGGTTTAAAGCACATGAAAGGGAATTTATTTACGGAGGGAACCGTGTCAGGGATTTTTGTTTGCTCAATCAGCGACTTAATTATCTTTAATTACGTAATATGTATGGTGAAAAAAGTCGCATAAAATGTTTGACGTTACGTAATATTTTTTTGAGAAAAGATAGAAAAAATTTGAGACACGGTTCCCCAGATATTATAAGTATGTTTATTTTCCAAAAGTTTGATGACAAAAAAATAAAAAATGACTTTGATATGACGATTTAAAATTTTAGGATTTTTATTAAAAATCAATCATTTACAAAGGCATTTTTTTCAAATATGTTATTTTTTATGTTGATCAACGACATTTAATGCACAAAGATTAAATAAATAACAATTATTACTAAAATAAGTTGGTTTAAATGACATTTATGTGAGTACCACGGAAAGTGTCTGTTGTCACCTTAAGGGGCTTAAATTCAAAACAGTGAAATTATCAAAGTGGTAATTTCACTGTTTCAAACAGTGAAATAACCAATTTTATATCACTGATATATTTCTATAAACCACCGAAAAGCATGTAATAAAAGAGGATATTTTTTTCGTTTGAGAGAAATATGGAATATATTTTCACGAAACATAATAAAATGCCACATATTTTTACGAACCGGGACGGCATTTTATCATGTTGAGTGAATATATATACCATATTTCACGAAAAACTAAACAATAACCTTTTTATTTAATTTCATTATAAAAGCAAAAAAATATGACCCCCTTGCTTGCATCGCAACTGCAATTGTACAGCGCGCAGTAATATATTACTTATAGGTGCCTTTTGATTTGCACGCGATATTTGGCGCTACATTGTGACGTCACATTAACAACTCTTTAAACGTCTGTACAGCGTTAAAGCAGCTGACCTCCAGAAGATTGCAGAAAAACTGCCGTCTTGCTAATATTTCAAAATCCTCCCTCAAAAACATTATATAGTTGAAAGAAATCGAAATGACAATTCAGAATGTTCATATTTTAACATTATTGCTCTGAAAACAAACAGTTTGCTTTTCTACCAACGGAAAATACCTTCCTTTATTATACCACGGAATTCTTTCATACGTTTTTTTTTCTAGTATCACGTGGTCGCACAGGACAATATTGCGACCTGTGTTCCGGAACGCAAGGAATCCGGGATTTTATCAAACATATAGGGATACGAATAACTGCTTTTGTTTTTATATTTCGAGTTATTCATATAAATATAATTGATAAATTAGTTTATATATATAATGACCAATATCGATTTAACTTTAAGCTTGAAATGTGATAGGGGCCTACTTAATGACGAAAATAGATAAACGATCCCGGGCATACCGGATACCGGGATTTTTCCGGACCACTGTTGTGACACGTGACTGCGTTAAATGAATTATCTTATCCTATTTATATTGGCTACGGCGTTTTGTTTTTGAACACTTTTCCAAGGAAATTGCTGATCGACGTAGATCTCATCTTCCAAAATTAAATCAGGTAAAATGTGTAGAAACACGTCAGGATATGTGTACGACAAAAAAATTATAAACGACTTATTCGAAAGAAAAAGCGTGCGTTCGAAGCAGCAAAATGCCATCAAATAGTTAATTACATTCTTCTAAGCCCAAAGACTTCTGGCGCTTGTTTAACAAAAAGAAACATAATCATGCCCGTTCTATCGATTTGGATGATGTTTTTTAACTATTTTTCGTTGTTGCAGGAAGATCTTGTAACTGAGAATGATTTAGAATCTGATACGTTCTATAATAATAATGATCACGATTTTAACGATACGTCATGTAATTTCACTGAACTGGATTGTCCTATTACATTTGCTAAAGTTGAGTTTGCAATTCGCGGGTTAAAAACTAGCAAATCATGTGCGGGTGATAACTTAATAAACAAACTGTTGATATTTTGAAGTAGTATCTGGTCGATATTTAAATACTGGTCATTTCCCTGCACAGTGGACAAATGGTATTTTAGTACCATTATTTAAGAAAAATGATTCTTCTGACGTAAACAATTACATAGGAATCACTCTAGTAAGCTGTTTTTCTAAAATATTTACGAGCGTAGTTAACAAGCGTTTAAGCGTATGGATAAATGATAATAACATATTCAGTGATGCGCCGGTCGGTTTTATGTCTGGAAGATCAACTGTCGACGCAATTTTTATATTGAATGCTGTTGTAAATAAAGTTTTGAATGATAAAGGTAGATTATATTGTTGTTGTATCGACTTAAAGAAGGCTTTTGACAGTGTTAATTGTAGTAATTTGTGGTATAAACTATATTAAACTAAGAATCAATGGCAAATTACTTAGGATAATCAAAATATGCATACCTTAAAACATGTATCAAGGGATGTTACTCTTTCTCTGATTATTTTGAATGCGTGGTCGGTCTAAAGCAAGGTGAGGTTCTCTCCCCTGTTTTATTTTCTCTTTTTTTAGAAGATCTTGAACTTTTTCTGAATGATGACCCCTCGTGTGTTTTAAATATTGATGAAAGCCTGCTAGTCATTATGTTGTTTGCTGATGACATGGTGTTTTTTGGTAATACTCCCGTTGATCTTCAATGCAAGCTCGACTTGTTAAAATTATATTGTGATCGCTGGGGTCTTATTGTCAATACTGAAAAAAACTAAGATTGTGGTTTTCCGTAAGCGAAGT